GTCCTTGTAACCCACAGTGGCGCGAGCAATTCTTGTGAGTAGATGCTCTACTGTAGATTTCCTGTCAGATGGTTTGTACCAAAACTCTAGATCAATAAGATGCCATAATTGAACAGGCAATCCACTTCCTCTCATCCGTGCTTGAACTCTTAAAGGGATCTCGTGAGAGATTTTCTCGGAAATGTAGGTAGACTTATCATCAGTCATCTTCCTTATATTCTAACAATCAATAGGTGGTAAGAGTGAGGTCGTGGTAGGGGGGACAAAATCGTTGGCAATTGGTGAGTTATAGTTTTCGAAGGGCTCAATGAAGAGATCTTAATTAACTGTGCGTGTAGGACGCAAATTGTAACGGACGTGGAAGTCTGCACGCTAGCAACTCTCAATTGCTGGGCAGGGACTTTTCGAGACGACAGTTTCAATTGTTGTTGTACGGTTGTAGCTGTTTGCGCGCTAGGGAATTTCAATTGCTGGGCAGGGATAGAATGGAATCAATTGTGACAACCTTAAATAGCACACTTCTCCAGTAGAGCGAGACGAACTGGGTCGATCGTAGGAGTGTCTCTTCCGACCTTGCTGGTCTGTGATTGCTGGGCAGGACTTATCTAGCGAAGCAACCACTGATCAGTGTTGGATGGGTTATATATCACGTACGTGACTAGTAGATGCAAAGACAACTGGATGTATATAAATTCATTGTTATTCTATTCTAGTTTGCTAAGCCAATATCTAACTAATAGCACGCGTGCGCGTCTAGATTACGTGAGCCAACGGATCAACTATTCTCCAATGTTCCGCCGACAGTTGGACATGGTGGATAGCGACGGTTAGACTTACATTTAATATTACCGAGTGAAGCGAGTTGTACAAGGAAATGGTTAAACTGTCCTTTGCAGCTATTGATGGTGACATGAATTAAGATGATGATTGTGATTGTGATTGAGATAGATTTCTATATAGTTAATAATACATGATATGCTCCAGTGCATATACCTCGAGCCAAGCAACCAGATTATGTTCGTCCAGATCTAGATTCATCAGAATAATTACTTACTCAGTAAAATTCTCCTAGTCTCAGTTGTGTGTTTAGGATCCTGACGAGGTCTCTATCAACTAGTCACTGATGTTTCTCCTATCACTGAGATTTAAACATGGTTGATACAAAAAGTACAAACGATGAATCGTGTCTATACATGACGTTGTGATATAGTCATGATCGTCTGAACAATATCAACTCATGAATGAATCATGTCTCTACATGACAAGTTGGGAGATTAGAGAATCTGAAAACCATAGTGGATAGTTGTTTATTAAACCCACTTAGTACCAGAGCGCTACTTATACTAATTACTACATCTAAGTGAAGGACACGATTCACTTGTTTTTGCTAACTAATTGGGAGGCTGATGGATGTATGAGTCGTCACGAATGTGGCTAGTAATAATAGAACCTTATCACGTTCTGTATTAATGCGACTCTTTCTTGCCAAGTAGCGCCAGTTTCAACACTCACTACACAGTACATCACAATCTCTGCAGGAAGTACTACAATCTTAGTTCCCTACCATACTATCCCACGTTACTCTATGCTATTGAGCAGAACTGCGCCCCAGTAGTTGATCGTGATGATGGCGACGTAGGGCTGTGCTGTATTCGCATACATGTACTGTATGCCTAACAGTCGGCAGAGATAAATTTATAGTAAATACGATAATCACATTACGACACTCTCCCTGTTGGTAACAACTATGATTTATGGTGATAATGTTGTTAGGTCAATTATTAGATAATTTTACTCCATAACCACTGGTGACTTGACTGTGGTCAAACTGTCTGCCAATTGATTGGATGATGGAACACATACCATATTAAAATCGCCTTTCTGTTGTTGCTCTCAATAGCAGAAATACTCAAAGATATGCTTAGAGCGTCAATGATCATTATTTTTGATAAGGGATACTGCGGATTGGTTGTAAACATATAGTCTAGTCTGACTTGGTCCTTCGACTTGATCAACAAGTTCTAACTGTTCAAGTAATGATTTCGCGCATTATAATTGGCGACAGGTTTTGATTTTCACAAGGTACTCTGCCTCAGTTATTGATAGAACAACCTCACGCTGTAGGTGGGACTTCCAACTAATTGGTCCAGTTGCAAGTCTAGTTAGAATCTAAGAGGTTGACCTAATTGTGGTAAAACCAAGCTGGTTGTAGTGTACTTTTAGAAAAATTAAACTATATGTGGAGAGAAGTAACACAACTACGGATAATGGATATTTGTACATTCTTCCAGCTCATCCAGTTCGTACTCCGTTGCTGAGCATGACATTTTGCTCCGCCACTACCCGTTGTTATCATACTTTGCCATCTAGCTTGGCTGTCTCACTTGGCAATTGTACTTCTCCGTCTCACATTCCTTCCCAGCCCCAATGTAATGTGGCGGAGTTAAACTAAGTTGATTATACAAGATAACATGGAACACTCCATCTAAGCTGAACCATGGTCAAACCGTAACTAGTGAGCAGTATTAGGTCTACTAATGTTGATTGTAAGAAGCAGAGGACTATAATTTTCTGCTTTCTTTAACCAGAGTTTCAGCCTCTCATAGTAATTCATCAAGGTTACCCAGAGGAGCAAACCTAGATTCTGATCCCACCGACCGAGCAGGAGACAGACTAAAAGATGGTGATAATTTTGAAGTTGGACTCAAAATTAGGGGATTACTGGATAGGAGGGGAAGAAGGAGATAGATCCTGTCGGGCTCTGGATGCCTAAATATAGGTGTCAAAGGACTCGCTCTCAATGTGCTATACCAAGTGACCACAAAATATCTTATCTGCCGATACGACTTGTTAGTACGAAATACCGGCCTTAAATGCGTCCTCACCTCGGCCAAGGGCACCAACAACTCGACCTGCGACGAATTGCCACCGACGAAATACGTACGACATTTCGCTGGCACACCAGCTAGAGCATTCGACAAAGGCTGGGGCACCGGTGCCTCGGTCTTGAGCTCTCAGTCGCGTTTTCGACCTCCACGGTTAGGGGTACGGCAGCGACGGGGCAAGGCCGGAGGGGTGGACATTCTACAAAGTTTCTGGGCTGACGAGATTGGCTGAAGGACAGAAGGATGCTACATGACGTAACAAAAGGGAATACTAACTGAGGAGACATTGGTGGGCGAGTAGCTGAGGTCTTCAATAAAGCAAACGACCCCTGGATGAGATGAGGAGATGCTGAGGTGGGCCAGAGCTGGGACTGAATGGAAGGGAAGGGAAATGTTACAGATGGCGAAGGTGTCAAGGGCTCGGGCGCGTGGTGGCCGGGGCTGAGGGGGAATTTGCGCTTCGGCGCGTCTAAAGGGAGTTCTCTGGACGGTTGGACTTGACATGATTCAACACATGGGTGAAGGCTGAGGTGGTCTGGTCATTTAAGTGGGACGAGGTATATCTGTACTTCGCTGTAGTTAACCTGATCCGGCCCGACCCCTCTCGTGCTTAAGCTCCAGTAGGAATGCAACGGTAGTCATGTAACCTTGCATGTTAATGAACAAAACAAACAAAACGACTTGTTAGTACATGAGGAGGCTTTCTCACTGCTTTCCTGACATCCTTTTAATTCTTTCCCGAAGGTCGTATTGAAATATCAGAAAAGTCTTGACAAAGCTTGATTACCGTGAAGATGCCTAGTTCAGCTTCTCAATCCCATCTGGGGTACTGAGAATGCCTCAGACTCATCAACAACAGACAGATAGATATTTATCCGTGACGGGCACAAGCCTAGCACTCATGGAGCATGACACGGAAAAGGTTAATCCTTCCCAAACCACTATGCACGAAGGTAACTTAGTTTGAGATTTGGACCACTCATGTAGTGGGTGCATTCGTTGATTCCACTCGAGACCTTTGTGCTAGGGAAGTTCACCCTTCCATCAACCGTTAATATCCGCCAAAGGGTAAACAGGAAAAACCTTTGGCAACCCAAAAATGCCTTTGCCTTAAAGTATATAGCTGCCGCGCGAGATGTGGCCTCGCAGTCCTCCCTTTCTCGAGTGAGATAGGTTTCCAGGCTACCTAGAATCTACCTAGACGAGATGATGACCAGGAGGCGGACTAAAACACCTTCTATCTTTGCCTGTTTGTAATGTTATGGAAGCACAATCTGAAATCGTTGATTCTGCGCCTATAGACACCCTTAAGTCGAATACACTCGAAAGATGTGAGTCCCCATTAGAACAACAGTCCCTCATAATTCGAGCCCCAAGCTCTGTATCTCTCGATTTTTTTTCCTTCTTGAGAGTATCGGTGGCGTCGTAATTCGATAGCAGGACATGGCCATTTATTTTTTCGGCGAGCTCCGGTTTGCAATTGGAGCAGCCTGTTGATTGATCTTTGATGCGTAGTGATTTGTGGTGGGATTGAGGTGTATGACATCTGAGAAAATGATAAGACTGACATTGATTAGAGGTCTTCGATTCTAGAAATCCTTATGTTTGCTTTCGACATTGATTCGGTTGTGATTCTTCTTGACTATCCTAATTATGTAGAGCGTACTGAGGGATATAAGCGGTGTCGTTAGAAGGTGAAGAATTCTTCTTTAACGGCAACGCATTATCTGTAGCCTCTCTTAGATTCTGTACAGACTCAGTGTGAGGCAACAAGTTGCGTAGTCATAATCTTTGTTTAGTCCTGACAAGGCTAGACCATATTAAATGGCGACCTCTTATTTCGCGGCTTCTACTAGCCCTAATATGTCTTAGTGTTCGACTTGAATCTCATCACAACACCAATGAACAAGGCTGATGGGTGTCAGATCCCAGTAACACCACGCGCAGTGCGCAAGACGATCTGATACTGAGGGTAGGCTGTCCTGTAAGTTATAAAAAATTTTGGTATTCTAGTTTTCTACACGTGAGGATAGAAGAAAATTTGTCTTAACTTCTTCTCTAGTGTTTTACTCCGAAGATAAATTCTAATTGAAAATTCACACTTCGAGGTCCATAATGTCCCTGAGACCTATATCTCCAGGTGGGGCTCTTTTAAGAAGGTCTAAGGTCTTTTCAATTCCAGCTCCACTACCTCGGAATACAGAGGCTAATCCAAATGGCTTCGCAACATCAAATACTGCAACTACACCATACCCAACTCACCTCTCCATCGCTACACCCCTATCATCGCTCAAGTGTGGAGATTGGGGTCTCAAACGCTCACTACCTCTCCGGACTACTACACGGACATCTTCACCGTCTATTCGCGTGGAAGCTATTGATACAGTCGAGCAGGTTACAGGATTCAGCTCTTCAGCGGACCACGCTATTACTCTACAAAAATGGCAAGAACTAAATCTTCCCCTTAATACACAACAAATTCAGTCTTTTGACTTAACTCCTGGAAGGAGAAGTGTTTTTGAAGAAGAAACCCCTAAAAATTTATCGAACCCAGATATGACCGATAATGACGATTTTCGATGGAAATTTAAGGGTCCCTGGCTTGCCGGTAAGAATGATGGAGAATTTGCCGTTTACTTCAAAACGTCAGTGAGAGGCCGTCGGGCTGAATTCCAAAAACTTTTACGAAACACATACGTAAAGTCTAAGATGATGGAAGCTCGAAACGCCTCTTTCCAGCAAGGTCTCGGTGGTGTAAGCCCAATAATCAAAGCCGAAGAGGTCACGGATGACGAAATCACGGAATTTGTTAGAAAGCTCCGTTCCAGGAGAAGGAATTTATATCAATTGATACGCCGATTCCTTGATCTTCCGCCTTCAAGCATACGAGATTCAGATGATTCATTATATTCCCTTATGAATCGTTATTTTGGAAGCAATAGTCCCCAGGAGAGTATTGATATCAAGACTCTATCTCCTTACGGCAACTCGGGGCCTCCCAAATCCCATCCCTCGGCCGGTCTGTCTTATCTACGGACCTCTGCTTATACTTTCAATCATCATCTCTTCGGCCCTCAGCAAAGGACTCCCCCTGTACAATCTCGTGTCATTCTACCAAAAACTACAGCCACCACGATGGGACGCTCACCAGTCATCGGGGTCGCTGGATTTGTTGCAGGAATTGCCTCGAGTATTTACCCCACTAATAAATTTAAACCAGGCCTACAGGAAAACATTCCAACCATAAACAATGTTTACAGTCGATTTCCTGGCCTTCAGGCTTTCGATCCCACAGCTGATGGAGGTAGCAAGTCCTGGGTGCATCCAGTGCATGCTCAGGTTGATTCTGACGGCCACATACAGTTGACGTGGGAATTAGGTAACCCTGAGGCTGTAGCTATCAGGACGAATAAGCTAGACGAATTGAAGCCAGCTGTGGCTGAAAAGAGTTACTGGAGGCAAGTAAAAAGGCCAGCACGAGCTCAGACAAGGCCAATCAGTTCAGCGCACGAGTATGGTCTCTCAAATATGATGAATTCCAACGTGAAACTTGGAACAAAGGAATCATTGAACGAGATGGATACTTTGATTGCAGATACTAAGGATTTACGGTAAATCTTCACTTGAAGACTTTTCCACAAATATGGCCATCTGTTGAATGTAAAGTATCGTGTTTCAACTAGTTGTAAATACTAAAGATTCTGGCGCTATGAATGTAAGTATTTAAGTTATGCCGGCTAACTCCAAAAATAAAGCTATTGTACCACAACCCGGCTATCTCAGAGCTACCAAAAACAAATAAATGAAACTAAAAAATATTAAACAGTCATTATGAATCAAGCTCTTCATTCTCAAGTTACAATGTGTCCAGCTGTAACTCCGAATCGTGTCATAAAAATTGGATCCATCCTCCTAATTTTTCGCATACCTTAGCAATAATTTCCGTTTTATTCGTTTATTTTTATTGTACTATTGATTCTATAACTATGTTGAATATGAAGGCCCATTAAGGATAACGGTGATTGATATATTGTCATTGTTACCACGAAGATTACTTGATAATTTGAGACGAGTTTTTTGAATTTGATTTCGTTTAGCCCGATTTGGCGCCCTATGGGCCCACACAGGTATCTACGAACTTCAATATTTACATAGGAGGAAACCTTGCAGTAAAAATCCCCTTAGCTGTCCGATTGGACTCTACGCTATAATAGTCTTATCTTTATGAAGTGCACTCACACTGTTGTTGCTATTGTGGACTCCGTCCTTGTCTTATGTTTCCATTTTCCTTTCTTCGCCTGATTAATGTCTCGATTTCTCCGTTTATCAGTGACTGCTCTAGCCATCCTTTCTTTTGAATCCACTGTGCAATTCTAGTCATATATTTGACGTTGTTTAACATAGCTTCGAAAGGTGGAGTTGTCGATTTTCGTAGCAACTCGCCTCTTCCCTTTGCCCATATTGCACAAGACATCACCATGTGCTTTATATTTTGGGACGGATATCCACATTGGCAGCATATTACGGCGTGCTGTAGGATAGATCAAGATCGCCGTTCGCCGTTCGCCGAGGGTATAGAGATGCCAGAAGGTGAATACTAAAGAGATGGAAAGTCGAGGAAGTACTAAGGCTAGAAGGAAGTGGGTTTGCGAGAGGAATACTGTAATAATATTATAAGATTGTGAAGCTGGAGAACTACTTTGTTGTAGCTCCAGCTTCCTTAAGTACAATTAACTATCTAACATGATTCAACTAAGGCTGTTGTAATTTCCCATCATGACTCAAACTGTGACCTCAACCATATCAATTCCTGTTGGCGCATCATCTAGTCTCACCATATAAGTGCAAGTGTTGAGGGCGAGCCGAAAAGGCTGTTCCGTGAACTTTATCCTCAGGCATTCTGCTTAGACTCTGGTTCCAGAATGTCTCGCCATGACACAGCATGTTTTTCCTATTCCTGGCACATTCCTTCTATGTAAGTAAGCATTGAGCCCAATGTGCTCGCTTCTTACTTGTGTGGCAATGCTGCTCTGGGCCCTGCTAAGGTTTCTGAGACGAGTTCCTAAATAAAAAAATTGCTTTACAATTTAGTTGTCTCTCAGTCTATGATTATATATGACATGAGGGTCCTCTCTGTCTACAGGCCATGGATACCTATATCAGTACTATACCCCCTCCTATGCTTCCCATACAGCTCCCCTCAAACAGTACCACCCCTCACAAGTCCTCATTGGATCATACACTTGGAGGAGCCCTTTGCCCTTCATTATCTCCCCTCTCCAGCCAACGAAACGATAGCCATTTGCAGGTGTATGACAACCGGAAAAAATAGCAAAAACCACTGGGTGCCGGGTTCTCCTAATACCGACATTAGGGCTAAATCCGAAGACATATTGCCCCTTCTGAAGCGTTCAAAGAGGCCGGCCAGCTGGGCGCTGCAAACTTATGTGTACCTCGGGAAATTCACCCTCTGCCTTTCTAGCCTCCTTCCAACTTCTTCCCGAAGGTCGTACTGAAATGTCAGAAAACTCTTGACAGAGCGTGATTGCTGTATGGTAGCTTAGCCCAACTTCTTCTGTGCCGTCCAGGACGCTGAGGAGTGCCGTTGACTCATCGACAAAAGAAGCCCTCCTGGCTAATTAGCCGAAATCTTGGTCTTGGCGCCCACAAAAAATCCAAAGTTGAAAACTCCTTGAAAATATTAGTCCCAGCATGATCTTCAAAGACCTGTTCCACCTCTCGCTCCACATCTCAGCCGCCCTTCCTTCCTCAAGAAGTTTGTCCCAGCAGAGCAACAGTCCCCTACAAGCCTATTAAAGTTCTAGGGGGTATCTGGAATGATAGAAGTGAACGTTGACCGTCAAGTCAATACTGTACGAATCGTAAGATATTGGGGATTTAGGGATCAGAGATAAAAGGTTAGGATCAGTTAGGTCTCGGTATTACTGAACTTATATTTCGGTGGTTTAAAAGAGTCTGTGTCTTAATCTACATCTAATTGTCTATCTATGTTCTACCTCTTTTTTTTTTTTTTTTGCATCAGATTTTAATTGCGTATGCAGCTATCTAGCTATGACACAATATCAGAGAAAAGTACAGAAAAGATGACTCAGTTTATAATAGGAGCACTCATGCCTCGGATTTCATTTGCAAGTACCACTGCGAAGTTATGGTGGCTTTTTCTTCACCCCAAGTCAACCCTCATCCGTGAATACCCACCCAGGGGAACGTCTCAAAAACCCTGAGTTATCCAGACATGCCTCTGTCATCCATCAACTTTTCTCCGCGCGAAATGTAATCTGAGATGTCTCCTTCCCAAGTGGAGTAGGTACCCAGGCTACTCAAACCATACCAGAGAACATCACCAGGAGGCGGACCACAACACCTTCCATCGTTTGCTTGTTTTTATAGTGTCAGCTGCACTCTCACAAGCGAAGTCTTGGCACGCACAAAGCCCAATTCGTAAAACTCTTGCCAAAATTCAAAATTCCACGCCCGTCGAAAACGTATCCCTCTTCTGCATCATCTTGTGAACTTGTCCTGATCCCTCTCACGTCCGTCCCAAAGAGCTATCTCCCAAAATTGTGCTCCACGCTTTGCTTCCTCCGTCGGGTATAAATATCGGCGTGGGCGTGTATTTGGTGACCGGCTGAGGCCAGAGAAAGTCGACGAGAGGTGTGGTCATTGAAACGAGGATGTACTAGGTCGTACTTGTAGACTTGATGAAGCTTAGTTGAGAATCGGACTCTTTGGGAGTGAAAGATTGACGTGGTGGAGTAATTTGAATTTTTGCCTCGTGGGCCAACTTCTTTGATATTGCGAAATTTGACTGAACTTGGCTCTGGGAGAATATTTCACTCCCAGGTTCGTAGAGGACACCGCGTACAGGTGTTCAGTCTTGCCCTCCTATGTTCTACCTCGCTTAGGTAGAAACATTGTGTTCTGATTACGTGATGTAATAACATTCACACCACCGAGTTCATTACTAACCGAGACCTCACCAAAGCTGGTAGCGATCGAAGGTGAGTAGTCTTCGTCTACTCCGCACTGCGTGCAGTTCGGTCTGGCACGTCTAGATTTCAATAAAGCCAGGACTCAGGCTTTTTATTTGTCGACTTGATTTCCTCCTTGCCGATATAAATAGCGTCGTAAACATGTAGTGAGAGATGGCTGGAAATTGATGGGGCAAGCTCCCGTTTGCAATTGGAGCAACTTCTTTACTGGTCGTCGAGGCGAGACGATGCGTGGTTAGAGAGAGGTTGAGGACCTAGATGAGTATAATAAGAGAGACATTGTCGAGAAGTCGTCAAATAGAAATGTGCTTGAGGTTGCTTTCGACTCCCATTCGGATGCGATTCTTCTTGGCTGTCCCAGATATGCAGAGCATACTGAGCGATTACACCAGCACCACTGGAAGGTGAACAATCTGGCATCTACGGCTCGGTTCAATGCTACAATGGTAGTTACAGAAGCCTCGTCATATCACATATGCTGCCAACTGGCGAGCAATCAGAAGCCCAACCAGCTTAATACAATATGAATTAAAATCAAAAGCCCACGAAAGCTAAGCTAAAGACTTGTCTGCCTTGAGGAAAAGCCGATTTCGACATGTCAACAACTTCGCCTCAACTTCTTATTTCAGAACCAGCTAGCCAGGAGGGCATCGAAACTACAGGAGTTATTTGACAACCTAACATCCGTATCGATTTTTGCATTGTAGGCAGGACTCCTTCACGGTATTCTTTCTTGGACAAGAATTATCTAGCGCCCTCTGGTCTGGCCTGTAATGCAAGTCAGGCGTTACGGATCCGAGGACAGGTGCTGGAGCAACTATGTGGCTGATGGTAGTAGATAATAATCCTAAGGAGAGAACTACTACAGGATCTATCTACACATGTATATATGCAAAAGAGCCTCATTTTATACGATGTCATTGCACTATCAATTAAGGAGGTTGTGACCGATCTTGTATATTCCCAGCCGATGGCTTCTCACCAACAAGGCGTGCAGTATTGGGCTGCACAGTCGAATCGGATGCCATGCAGATTCCGATGCTCAGATGTTAGATCGATCTATCGTGCGCACTCCAAATCGGACCAAGTCTATGCCAGCCAACATAGGCTATAGGAACCAGCCGTCACATCAGGGGGGGAGTAAGCAGGGGACTGAAGGTTGATAAAAGCTTTTGGGTATATGTAGGCCTCCTGCGCCCGGTTAGCCGGCCTCCTCACGCTTCAAAAAGGTAGCTATATCCTCAGACTTAGTCCTGATGTCAGTATAAGATGAGCCGCGCAGGCAGTGTTTTTAGAAATCTTCCCGGCTGCCACACACCCACATTTGGGCACCGTCCGGTTGGCTTGAGAGGCGAGATGATATCGGGATAATGGCCTCTCTTAGTTTGTGCTTCATCGAAGATCAGTTGAGGCATTACTGCTGGAAAGAAGTTGCGGAGGCATAAGTGTGACAAGCTGTGCTCGGATTGGGATTGCTCACCAGGCCCACTCCGTCAGGAAATTTGAGCTTTAATAGAGCAGCGCTTCCGGTACTGTAAGGGTTGCGCACAAGGAGGTATCAAGGGTGGTACGTCCCAGATGGGGAGTATTTTACAGGAGAAGAGGAGAGCCGGGGAGAAAAGATCATTCTAATGTAGTCAAGCACGGGAGCTGGTACTAGTCTCCTCATATGACATGAAGGATAGGAGATGACGCGGAAAATTGGCTTCCCAACGTAAATGTTATCAATTCCCATTAAGTGATCGACTGTAAAATACATCTAAATTCCTCAAACCCTGATAATAAAGGGATAACACTACCGGGGGTTTAGACACTCCTGGCTTGTAAGTAGAAAGGACCTTCATACCTTTATTTAATCATAGACCCAATGAGACAATAAACGTAAACATACATACATACATCATTTAGTGAAGCAAGTAGAAAATAGTAGATTCTGAAGATCTATTGTGGATAAATTTTTATTACTCTCAACCGGATACAGAGCTGGCAAAGACGAATTCTTCACCTTCCAGTGGTGTCGGTGTAATCGCTCAGTGTGCTCTGCATATCTGAAATAGCCAAGAAGAATCGCATCCGAATCGAAGTCGTAAGCAACCTCAAGCAAATCTAAAATCGAAAACTTCTCGACAAATATTGGCCTATCACTTCAACGCGAGTCCTCTACCTCAATCTTACTACATCACCTCGCCTTCACATCTAATGAAGCGTTACTCCAATTGCAATCTGTAATTTACATCATTGGAAATTGGCCATCTCCCACTATAAGGTTATAATGCTATGTATACCAGTGAGAAAATTAGGACATAATACACAAAGCTCGGGTCTTGGTCTATGGGGGACTGTCGTTCTAATAGGGCCTCACATCTTGAGGGAGGAGGGGTTGGTGGGTGGGACGAACGAGTGAAGAGGTCATAAATAGGTATGCTGAGACTCACATCTCTCGAGCGTATTCGACTTAAGGCTGTCTGTGGGCGTAGAGGCAACGATTTCGGATAGTGCAACCGACACTCTAAAAACAGGCGACGATAGAAGGTATTTTGGTCCGCCTTCTGGTCATCATCTCCTCAAGGTAGAATCTGGGTAGCCCGGAAACCTATCTCACTCAAGAAAGGGAAGACTCTGAGGCCATATCTCGCGCGGCGGCTATACACAAGATGGCAAAGGTATGTTGGGGTAGCCAAAGGTTTTTCCTGTTTTCCCTTCGGTGGATATTAACGGTTGAGATAAGTGTGTAAGTCCCTAGCACCAAGGTCTCGAGTGGTATCAGCGAATGCACCCACTACGTGAGTAGTCCAAATGTTAAACTGAGTTATCGTCGTATATAGTCGTCGGGCAAGCTAGTCTTCTCCGTGTCAATCGGTGGTCAAAGTCTACACGAAGACCACTAGGAGGTCACTGCTGCACAAAGGATATAAAAGAGGCATGAACTCTGTTGGCTTATTGTATAAAATGTTGAATACATTCTTGAAGAGTCAGTAAAGTAATAATTCATTAGAACATCATCCAGATGCTTCCTAGTAAGATAGAAAAAAGTGATTGTGCATACTAGCTTAACACTCTGCCACGGGATTAATTTCACTACTACATAATTTTTCGGACATAGTTTTAAATTAGCAAAGGACATTAATGGGCCAATGATTTTTAACGATTAGACATCACCTGTCTCTTACTAGATATAATTCCCTTTCTTGAATTGGAAGATGTGCCTGCCTAATACAGTAAATTAAATTTCAGGTACGTGTGTAAGTAGTAACCGTGGTTAGAATTTTGGACAGCTTTGATAAAGGATTTTGATGTGGATTGGAGAAATTTCCCTTCGAGAATTACAGTGCCTTCAGGTTCCAAAAAGTTCACCTCGAAACTGGGATGTTTAAGGGATTAGCCCTGTAGGCGCTGTTGGAACTTGCTCGTAATAGGTTAGTGTGTCTCTCCTCCTTACCCCGCTCGCCATGAAGTATAGTGCAACTGTCTTCTAACATACAGTTAGGAAAACACATTTTCAACAACATTTTTGGCTGCTTAACCTTCACAGTCCCTGAATCTTATCACCACTATCAATTCATCTTCTATTCTAGCACACAATGTCTCTCGAAAAGTCTGCTTCAGAAACTAAAGTTCGCAAGCATCTAACTTGCGATCAATGTATTGAAATAAGAGCACTAAGAAGACTTGGCTTGTCACTACAAAATATATCCGACAAACTGGGCTTCACAATAAGACAAGTACAACTTGCGTGTGCTCGAGAGACTGAGAATCCTATACCTCGCAAAAGATGCCCACCTAAATTAAGCGCGGAACAAGTTGATGAGCTTGAGGCTTTCGTCCGGGAATTTCCTGAAAATCGACAAATGTGCTATTTGGAACTAGCAATGGGATCCTTCAGCCACTGGGGATTCACCGAGCATTAACTTCAAATGCCCTCAATTAAATGGTTTATAGCAGATGCATTGCTCGGAAAAAGCCTCTGTTAGGTGTAGTTAACATGGACGAAAGATGTATAGCGGTGATAAAGGAGAATGGAGGGTACACAAAGTATTAGGATGGAGCAGGCTAATACAAAACATGTAGTACGCTTTCATTTTAATTGCGAGCCATATTGAGGGCTTCGATGTAGAAGTTTGTAATACAGAGCAATTATTTATTAAATAGATGTGCATTTTTAGATAATATCAATTGATTTTTTTTTATTTTTAATTTACAATATGGAAAATCGTTCTTTTCATTTCGAGTTGAAAACCATCCCCATAATTTAGACTTTCACGGAATATCATTGGATAGTACTCTTACTTGCATAACTAGTCGATAAACTAGACATGGGCCTGCATGAAGCCAAACCAATCTAATCGGTATGCACAGGGATCTAACCCCAGTCATTTTGACAATTGTACAATTTACACCCTTAAAACACTGTAGATATCCTAAAGTTTACAAGAAATTGCGGAAACGTGTAAAACTTGGTCTCAATTACCGAGTCAACACCGCCAAATTATTTTAACTAGTTCAGGTGTGGCTTACCGATAACCCTCGCAGTTTGTTTTACACTTCCCCACCAAAAATGCGCGACCTATTTCGCATGAACGCCGTGAAATTGTACATTGAAAAAAAGAAACCTGGTAGAATTTTTTACTCAGAGCAGGTGTGTCATTCATATTCCATACAAAATTGTTCAAAACATGAATTTCATGATGTAGAAAACACCATTAATGTTATTTTATTCCAGGGTGATTATAATTACGTTAAAAGTAGCCTCTCATTGCATCCTCGAAACCGGCGCCACCTTTTAAATCACGATCGAACGCGTTAGCAATATCAAGTACTTTCTTAATGTGCGACATGTTCAATGGTTCTTTATCTTGAACAGCAAGTGCTTGTGCGGTGCGAACCGTATTTTTAATCTATAAGGGAGTAAGCTAAGTTTAAAAAATGATTGAATTTTTCATACCTGACGGCCATTAAGATTATGTCGACCTAGCGAATTTATATCATCCTCGGTAAAAGGTGTTGTCTCAACGCCTTCTAATACTCTTACTTTCTCAAGAAACATTCGGAAGACACTCTGTCTTGCCTTGATCCCCAATTCACCATAGCGCAAGGCAATATGAATACGTGACTGAAAAGCGTCATCAAAAATTTCGACGCGGTTTGTAGTAAGAAATAAGATGCCTTGGAAGTATTCAAGAAGGCGCAAGAATATAGAAACGAGCGCATTACGGTGAATGTCTTGGAGATTACGTTTTTCCAAAAAGACGTCTGCTTCGTCTAGTAAAAGAACTGCACCCCACGCATGCGCTACATCGAGAATTTTCTGCAACTCAGTCTCGAGTGTACGAGGGTCAGTGCCTAGCTCGCCCACAGACACGATGTATAGCGGGCTTTTGAGTAGTTCGGATATGCCTTCCGCTGTCAGGGTCTTCCCTGTCCCTGGGGGACCATGTAGCACTGCAACAAGCCCCTTGCCTTTGCCTTGGATTACATCGTCAATACTTTTTGCGGGATGATATTTGTGAGACTCGACAAGTGCTTTGATTATAGTTTTGCTGTTACCTTCAAGCACCAATGAATCATATGCACCGTCGTTCCAGCTGATATCCTTTACGCCGCTAACTGTGAATTCGAGCCAGAGCTTTTCTGCAAAAGCGAATCCTAGCACGACAGGTGAAGCGATTAAGTACTCTTCATCTTCAAAAACAGGAATATCGCTGGCTTCCTTATTATGTTTACCAGTTTCTTCATTTTGAATATTAATTTTACTGGGTACCTCTTCGAGTCTCTCTATTGGGATTTCTTGGGCGTCATCATCAACCGGTATTTCGACTAGACATGTGTCATTCTTATCATTGCTCACAACTTTAAACTTTGTTTTTAGCTCATCCTCACTCTCATTTTGATCTCCTGAAAACTCAGCTTCATTTTGATTATCAGAGCTGAAGCAAAATTAGTGTTCGTTAGCCTAGGTTTTGTTAATGACTTACCTTTCCTCGGAGCCGCAGCAGTCAGATTCAGATGATTCAGAATCTGACTCAGAATGATCTGGGGTTTTTGGCCTGACAGTGCTGACATTGTAATTTGGTAGGACTCTACGGTGGATAGCTGGGTCAATCATAATTCGTCCGTTAATATTTACTTTAACAACCTGCTTTCGTTTCTTGTAGTAAGCCATACCCTCATGGCTTTTGTAATTGACGCCTTGTAACGAAACAAATTTTTTACCCCGCTCGACGAGCTCTACTCGTAGCTTCTTTTCATTTTTGTGGTATTCTAAAGGATAGCAGTTGAGGCTGGTTATTTTACGGGCGCCCTTGAATGCTGGGACGTCGCAGTTCATAATTCCTATTATGGTTAGGATCACATGCTGCTTTCTAGGAGTATCTTACCCATGCCCCATGATTTACCGTCGTACTCTAAGTACCTTCCCTCAATATTGTACCACTCGCCTTTCATCAAACTTGCCTCCTTTTCGGCTAATTCAATCTTAAACGCACGTGGCTCATCAATACTGCCATAGGTAGTAGTGTACGCTATGGTATTTGGTTTGTAGATAGCCCATAAAAGATCGAAAGTTATTAGACCCGATTCTAACATTGGGTACAAAGTTTTCTTTACAGATGCGTAGTCAGTGTCCAAGTACCTGATAAGAACATTTAGATGCTGACGCTTTGTTTGAATACGCTTGAGGGCTTTTTTCTTGCCATTTTTCATTTTAAGCTTAGCAATTTTTAAATCCTTATAGACCTTTCGCAGGCTTTCGAGGTAAAGGAAGAGTAAATTTGGGTCAACACTTGGTGCTTCTTCCACAAGACTTATGCCCTTGACACCGTCCATCACTTCGTTTAGAACTTCTTTTAGGAAGTTACTCTTGAAATCAACTAGAGTTGTCTAATGTGAATATTAATATATGCTTCATTGTTTAGATGAGAGCTATTTACCTTGAATTTACCCTCCCAGTCAAATGTTCGCCGGACATTGAACAGATACTGATCATACTCCGAGTTTTCTTCATCCTCGGCAGTGTCGGTGAGTTTATAATTATGGATTGAGCTGTCCCACAGCTGATCTACTCTCTTGAAGTCAAGTTTACTGGCCCGTTTATTCATGTTTTTTTTGCTTCGCTTTGACTTTTTTGGACTCTGCGGGTTTTCATCCAAAGCGGCAAGTAGCTTTGTATTTCGTGAAGATTTACTGCTTTTTGTAATATCACGGCCGCCGAGTATTTCTGCTATCTTTTCTAATTGTTGCTGTTGATTTTGGTAAAGAAGCTTGAGTAGATGCTTCCGTGTATATGAGCTGGAATGATTTTCCGCCCCTCCTACATCAGAAGTCGCTGAAATTGATGCCGAGTCCGATTCTGATTCTAGAGAAATCTGAAAGGAGTTAGGATGTAAATTAAAAGATTGAGATGTAGTAAGAACTTTTCTCCACTCAAGTTGTTGCTTCATAGTATTACCTTTCTCTCTTTTTTTGCCTTCAGCTTAGCTCTGGTTTTCATTTTTCGTTGTCGAGGCTCCCTATCAGATTCCGATGTATCATCCATTTCACATACGTCTGTAGAGCTCTCTGAAGAAGACGAGTCACCGAGAATTTGTGACTCATCACTATCGGTATGGGAAGTCGCTTTAGACTTGCCCGAAGTTTGCTTAAACGCTTGGGAGCGCGATTTGATTTCTTTAGCTTTATTTTTTTTCGTCATCACTTTGCTCTTTCTTTCCAGTGTTTAATTGTAATTTTTGCCAAACAACTGAGCTTGATATGACTCAAATGTTGGATTTGCCTTTCCAAGAGTCGAAGAGTTTGTGTGTTGTGTGAGCTTACCGAATTGCGTTGGAAACGAGAAGGACCTGGTAGTCCCTGACTCAAATGTTTACAAAATAGCCTCGGGATGTAAACACTTAAAATGGTATTCAGAAAGGTGATCACCCAAGAAAGGAAGTGATCGGGACTATCGAAACACTGATCATCGTCAGCTGGAATAGATACCACAAGGGTTGGGCCTATCACCACATGATCCTGTTGGACATTACTTGTGTGATGCCTGAGTTAGGATAAAATGTGTGCTAGGGGAGAACATTCGAGAGATGACCGACAGGGATGGCCGACCGTTCATATCCAATCTTCCAGAAGTCACACGTTCATGATTTCCTGCCGATGCTAATTGAGACGCACTGACAAGATTAGCGGGAAATCAACACTCTCGCGTGCACAATAGATTCGGCCACATCTAGACAACGATTTATTTGCATCTGGTGAAAATATCAATTATCGCTGGCGACATGCGGGAAAAACTCCTAGCGTAAACTTGATGTCTGCAATGACAGTTAAGCAGAGCCTCGCGCTTGCCATTAGTTGACAACTATCATGAGGGAATACCTCAGTTATCGGAGAATCCTCGGTGACAGGGGTTTCCGAGGTCATCATACCATCCGCTTTCTGTGGCCCACAAAACGAACGATATAGGGCCGGTAGATGCATCTATGAATCAAATTAACCCTGCTGAAGCTGTGAAGATCCTATTCGACATTACCGATAAAAGATCCGATGGTGAAATAAAGCGTTGGTCAAAATGCCATGTTTTATCCTGCCCCTGTAAATTCGCTCAGGGCAGTAGGGGCTAAAGTTTGAAGGGCAGTGCCCGGCTTCCCCATTAAATCTATTGCCTTAGGCAACCACACCAGGGTTCCGTAGAAAGTAGTCATCACTTGATGACCATCCCCTCTCTTTATGTCATACTTCCTTAGCAAAATGCATCCACATGCTCAGACTTGAATGAATGATATTCACCGAGATTCATGTCACTGTAATGCATCAACTCTGAGTTTCGACCAGTGAATGGAATGTGGAACTCTGTGAGGATGAGTTAGCTTCCTCGTGACTGGAAATCTCGGCCAAATGGTGTCATCAGGATGCAAGACGGAGGTTCTGAATGTTTGTGCGCTAGGGTGGGCGAAGATTAACGAGTACATATACTTATCTCCCCCCCTAAGGCGTCATTGCACCTTATATTTCTACTAGTCCGGGGAACACGGCTAGTGATCAGGGTACTGGTGAATCGAGAAGGTCTATACACGTTCCGTTTAATCATTAGTGAGTGTGTCTTTTGTACTACTTGAGTCTATAACTATCTAGCCCATTAAGCTTCTCTCTGACTGAGGCCACAACTTGTACAGTGCTCCTTGGCTCTCATGTTTCTTGAAAGACCATTGATATATTGCCCTTGAAAAATAGCCATTCAGCTCTATAATTACCCGTGACATTCTGCCACCTTTTCCGCGGAACCTTCTACCCAAAAAAATAAAAATGGTAGCAATGGAGACCGCGTGCGCAGGAAAAAGTCTCAAAAAACCTGCAGCCCCAGCCAGACGAGGCATAGTCACATTTTTGTCATAGCTCAATAGCTGAATACAACATGAAAAAAAGGAGGCCTAGATACTGGGACCAGATGAGGTGCACACATTCATCTATATCTCCCTTCTTTGTAACGTTCGAGGTTAACTTGATCCAATCCACCATCTCTATATCGGGTGCTGGGTACGCTCCGGAAACTCATCGGATGGCTTTTCCTCCACAATCAAAGGTTGGTCATAAGAAGCGCTTAGATCCTACCATCTGATCTGATCGTGGTAAGCTTCATGATAGTGGTGATAGGATGATATGCTTAGGGTTGAAGACGATACAGAACGCGAAAGCCGTTGGGAATCCCCATCAAAGTGAGGACTTTGTTACTCAATCTCGGCTCTATAGACTTTACAGTGAGAGCTGGAGGTTCTTAGGGGACACCACTGACAGGTGTTAAGAATAGTCTCCCTTTGCTGACATTTGAGCACGACTTTTGGGAAAGAATTGAAAGAAGGCTAGAAAGGCAGAATGTGAATCCCCCGAGATAACTAAAAATCTACGGTGCCCAGTTCGCCAGCCTCTTCGAATGCTTCAGAAGGGTCACCAATGTTGTGATTAAGGCAGCAATATGACTACAGTAGACAAATAGTATATACATATTATTCATTATCCTGATTTGGCGCCTTGAGGCCCATGCAGGTTTTATTGGAAGATATGTACTTTAAAGAGGATGACTCAATTTGACATTTAGAACACTCATATTTAGATTTCATTTGCAGATACCACTTGAGGTTAACCCTTACGGCGTATAACCTCTTCCGTGCTGTCACTGATTCTAGGATAGGTGCTGGAGCAACTATGTGGCTGATGGTAGTAGATAATTGTTGTAATTAAGGGAGTAACATGACTGCATTACAATAAACTGTTCACATTAGAATAATGTGCACATGCGCCATGGGATATGATTGACCTAAATCATCACTCATTGGTATGACATAGTATTTCCCAATAGATTCCTAATGGTATCTATTGGCGCTAGGATCTCTCACATCCTTCCTTTCTCGGTTAGACAAGGACAGATGTTGGAACATCCACTAGTGTGCAGAACCCCCTTATTCATGTATATAGAGGAAGGTCCTGTCACGTAGATAAATCAAGCAATTCATACAATAGGAAATTCAAACAATCTCCATATTATTCACACACTTGAGAATAACAGGGAATATCCTCAAGTTCGTCCATTGATCCAAGTCCTAAGAGTATAACTCACGAACTTTACTTCTCTTAAAGCCATAGCTACCTCCTTCCATACCTTCATCCTAACGGTACGTCATTCCAGCTCAGCATAGCCTTTCAATAGGTTATGAGCCCGGGTTCGACGCAGCTCCTGCGACTCACTTCAAATACGCTCAACGCTTACATCATTAAAGATGCATACCTCTACCTCTGTTCACGTCGGCACCATCAATGCAACTGTACCAATTCTCACCGGTCGTTCCAACTTTCGTCGCTGGTACAACTCTTACATTGTAATTTTGCGTGGTGCCCGATACTGGTCTGTGGTAAATGATGGCGTTGATAAGGAAACCCGTCCCGTTCATATGAAGGGTGAAAGCATTGAGGATTTCACCAAGCGGCTAGAAAAGTACGATGAACGAAACGACGCAGCCCACGCTGCACTTCTCGCTGGAGTCTCCGAAGATCTCCAGGATATAGTCAGCGCCTGCGTTTTGAAACCAGAATCTGCCCGTGTCGCCATGCGTTTATTGAAAGATAAATTCGACCATGAGACGACAACTTCCACTCTTCAGCTCTTCAACAATTTTTTTGAGTTAAAGATGGAAGAAGGAGATGATATTTCCGACCACATTTCGCGGTTCGAAACAACATTCTCCCACATCCATTCCCGCTGTTCAGAATCGTCACGTCCAGAAGCCATCGCCTTAATGAACTTTCTCTCAGTTGAAGAAGTTAAGGTCATGTGTCTCTTTCGCTCTCTTCCTCCCTCGATGTACAACATTGTCGATAATTTGTCAAGTAAAGAAAATTTATCATTTAGCGGGATTAATAAACATCTCCTAGATTATCAATTGAACAGATCAACTATACCTACATCGACGTCTAAAGCGTATCTTGTCGAATCTCAACATTCGCCAAAGGTTTATGGAAAAGGAAAAGAAAAAGTGAAAGAATGCACATGGTGTAAAAAGCATGGTGGTACATATCTGGGACATTTACACACCAATTGTCGGAAACTACAGACCCATCTTGAACAAACATCCAAAGCAAAGGGTAAAGGAAAAGGTTACAATGGAAAAGACAAGGCACATGTCGCCGTCAGGAATTCAGCTGTTCCTTCATATGATAAGTCTTACAGCGACATCGAAAAAGAGAAGGCCTTCATTGCTTCAACATCCTTCTCACCTCTACATTGGATTCTTGACTCAGGATGCTCTGCTCACATGACATCTCGAGAAGAACTACTCGCCTCTATAGTTCCTCATAAAGGCTTAGTCACTCTCGCAAATGGCATGGAGGTTCCCGTCAAGGGGTCAGGAACTTTACACTTAAACTTGCAAACAAGTACCGGCAGAAATATTTCGGCAACTATTCACAATGTTTTGTACGTCCCTGATCTCAAAGGTGGTAACTTAATTTCTGAAAGTAAATTGGAAATGGAGGGAAATATGATCATATCGCAAAATGGTCGACGACAGGTGATTAAAGATGGGAAAGAATGGATATTTGCGGCTTTTGATTCTTCAAAACAATTTGTAATTCAAGAACAAAAATATAAATCTTCTTTTGCCTCTTACATGGAAGCCCATAAATGCTTTGGCCATCCTGGTCAAAATGCCATGTTGAATTTGAAGAAGAAGTATCCTGACTTAATTCCAAATAAACCTGAAGGATTCCACTGCCCATCATGCATTCTCTCCAAATCTACTCACCATTCAGAAAACTCAAGACAAAAGCGAGCTCAACAACCGTTTAAAGTCGTTCATTCGGATCTCTCTGGAAAGTTCTCTGTCAAATCACTGGGCGGAAAACTATATTACATCACATTTATTGACGAATTCTCTCGATATGCCTGGATTTACTTCCTTCAGAATAAAAGCGACACATATCAAGCCATTCGCGATTATGTAATGTTGATCAACAACCAGTACGAGAAAACCATCAAGATATTTTTTTCGGATAATGGAGGAGAATACATTGATGGTCGAACTAAACAATTTCTTGCTGAAAATGGTATCAATCATGAAACTTCGCCACCATACGAACACGAATCAAATGGTGTTGCCGAAAGATTCAATCGAACGATCGTTACCAAAGCTCGAACTCTGCTTCTTGACT